AACGAAGGAAAATCTTAATAAGCTATGTTTTCAAGAGTCTTTGCAGTATAGAAGGCAACTCATCTGTCTTGTTCTTCTCTTCAAGTACGTTAATATCTATCCCCACTACTTATCCAACTTTGGTATACATATCACAACCAGTGCACGACGTCCCAATAAGCTAATATTGACAAACCATGGACAGCGCTGTTCAAATCTTTTTTTCCTTAAATACAGCACCCGCTGGAATTGTCTGCCCCCTAAGATCACCTCCTTGACCAGTTTAGGCGAATTTAAGCAAGAACTACACAAACAGTTTTACGAGCATTGGTTTCACTGCAGTGGAATTCCGTTGAATATGTAGCGTCACATCGTATTCTTCAGAAGCTTATCTCCGACACACTTGTCATCATTTACATGTATTATCCCTGTTCTGTACGCTTACAATCATTATGCTCAAGCGCAGAGCTCTGCCCCAGACTATGTCTTTTTCTCTTTCTCTGCTCACCTGCTCATCACTTCTTTTACATATTTGGTATTATGGAAAGTTTGGAAACCCCCTCGATAGGCTAAAGCCTTTGGGGAATCCTTAGCCAATGAAAATAACAAAATTACGAATTATGAGAGCGATGACAACCGGTAAGAAGAGCAAGAAATGAAGACAAAAAAATAAGAAATCGGAAATAGTAATGAGTGGAGGCAGGGTTAAGTCGAACAGAAAAAGAAATCTCAAATTAATACAAGTCGGGTCATCGAAGCAATATTTCTTCCCACCTCAGCAGCAGGTTTCGAAAGCCATTACATCTATCCCAAGTAAAATACGCGATGACAACAGGTAAGAAGAGCAAGAAATGAAGACAAAAAAATAAGAAATTGGAAATAGCAATGAGTGGAGGCAGGGTTAAGTCGAGCAGAAAAAGAAATCTCAAATTAGTACAAGTCGGGTCATCGAAGCAATATTCTCCCCACCTCAGCAGCAGGTTTCGAAGGCCATTACATCTAGCCCAAGCAAAATACGCGTAGCATGGGTTTGAACTCACGGACAGATACTATCGACTTCGTACAGTCGGGCAGATTATTCCAGAGGCGGCAGTTGGCTAGAAGCTAGGGCTTGACCAAGAAGCATTGTGGACCAGGGGGGGAGGGGAAGATTGCGTCCCAACTGAGCACGCCTGGCCACACCTGTCACAACAGTTCCCTGACGATTACAGAACGGATTCGAAATGTCAGGAGTCGTAGCTTGCATTCCCCTCGTTCCAGCACTGGGCAGACAACCAGGATGGTGTGCAGGGGAAGAGTGCGGGCCAGTGGGCACTCATCGGCCACTCAATGGATGCAACCTTTATCTAATTTGGCTATACTGTACATGTACTGTGTTCCGCTGCTCAGAGGGCAATCCTCGGAGAAACGCATTCGACGCATATAGAATGTCCGGTATTATAAGGGCCGAGTATTACAGCATCGACTGCCGCCCTGTTAGATAGTGCCCGATTCGGCGGAGGATCCAGTGGATGTATAACTATGCTGTGAAAGAAAAGCGACCTAAAATGGTGTGGATCCTTACAAAAGCTGAATCCAAGTGGATCCAAAGGTCAGCGTTGTCATGACTCTGGGCTGGCTGTGACGTAACACTTTCAGACCTGTCATTTTTATTTAACATCACAAACCAAACGAGTATGCTTGTCCAATATTATCATGGGGATGGAAAAGGTCTTACTATCTAGCTTCTCCTAGGGAAACTATTCTTCATTTTTTAAATGACTTTATTTCGATTCGCTGACCAAAACTGACAAATAAGTCATGTACAATCTGTTCTGCAATAATGATAAGCCAAGCACAGCACAAGCACAATAATATCATGATTTCTCCGAAACACGCAACCATTCGCACCAGCAGGTTCGCAGAGATAATTGTTGTCGAGCTGGACTGTGTAGCTCACCAACTGGCAACATGCATCTGATCGATTCAGGGAGACTCGCCTCGGTTGCGGAGTGATCGAATGTGATGATTTGTCGACGTTCTCCGCCATGTTTCGCGCAGACCTCCCCTGAGATGTTGACGATTAGGTCTTCTCGTGGTACTTGCATTGCACGCTGCCCTCCGCCATCGCTGACCGACAGAATGCTTCAGGTAAGCAGACAACTCCTTCGCTTGGCCCAGCTACTTTCACAGAACCTCTGGAAGTCGTTCCAGGGAGCTTAGTAGAATATGCCTTCCACAGCAATCGAGATCGACAGCGGGCTGTGCGCACCCTGACGAACCACACTTCGCCGCTTTCACCTTCGTGGCCCGTAAGACGATCATTACTCCAAACCGCAGTGCGTTGGTGTCATCTTGTTCAAACCCAATCACTACTTGACTCACTTCTAGCCCGACACTCGAGCGCGAGCGACTGCGACCCCTTCCGCCAACAAGAAAAAAACATTCTTTTCTTCTCTTGATTTCTTTCTTGATTTTCTCCCAAAACGCGTAAATCCCCAAAGGTCGATTTTCCCAGCCGGTCATTTGACTTGGGCATTCCCAACAGACCCTAAGGTCTTATAATTAGTGAGAAGGGATTCGGGAAGTGCATTAAAGTGGTCAGCACCAAGGAATGAAATAGATTTGAATCCATCTTGAGTTTGCAGAATGGGTAAAGAAAGGCTTGTTCGCTATCATCTCTTCAGCGATGGGCATGTGGAAGTGTGTGTGTGTGTGTATGTGCGTGTCCACGCCGCAGGTGGAAGGACTGTGCTGTCCGGGATCTACGTGCCCGTGGTGTGGAGGCATCCTGGTATGATGTTGCATGTGAGTCTCGCGCGGAGTGGCGCAGCACCTACCAAGAGCCTGACAATGCGCCTGAGCCGCCGCCCCGAGTGGTATGTACGGTATGCGGACGGGAATTTGCACGGAAAGGAGACATGGCTCGGCATAATTGTCTGGAGGAGCGTGCGCGGCCTGTGTCTGAGCAGCGGGGCGCCAATCAGTGCGGGCGGTGTGGGAGGTGGCTGAGAAGCCGCTGTGGCTTGGCCCTGCATGTGTGTGCCTCGACGGTGGATGCCACAGTGCCAGCTGGAGCTACGGGAACGTCGGCACTGGCGGAGGGATGTTGTGCCGCGCATTGTGACAGGTGTGGTCGCTGCTTTCGCGGTGTCCGGGGACGGGGCAGGCATCAATGTTCAAGGGTGGCCCATAGACCAACAGCAGAGGAGCGCTCGACCTTCCAGCACGTGTGCATATGCGGCAAGCGGATGCGACAACCCGTGCACCTGGAGCGTCATCGGGCGTCGTGCCCTCTATTTCTCTCTCTTCTCAAGTTTCCCCGTGATGGGATCACGTGACCCTTTTGCGGCAGTGACTATACAGGACATGTGTGTGTGTGCGTGCGTGTGCGTGTGTGTGCGTGCGTGCGTATGTGTGCATGCTTGGGTGCATGGTGACCATGATGACCCCTATGTGAAAGCACAATCCTGGAAGCCGTGTAGTGAGATGCGAAAAATGTGGCGTTTCAAATGCATTATTCATTTATTCCACCATGGCGTGACGCCAGTAAGGACGATTGATAAGTGTGATAGAACTGATACTAGCAAGAAACAGTTACATAGAAATTACCCGGGGAAGCAGTAAACAAAAACGTATGCGGAACCCCCCGCCCCCCCCCCCCCCCTCCCCTCCACGTTCGTTAGACCCTCAACAGCTGACTGTCTTGGGAGTCTCAACGCAAGTTGATACCGTTCTTGCCAAAACAGTTCCGATAATACGATGCATAACCAGCTCTGCTCTCTGCTGGCTGATTATTTGTAGCATTTTCTCCAAATTGTACTGTGACAGTTGCAGAACGAGAATCGGATCACACCGTCACGCAGCTCACGCGATGTACATGTATGACAGGCATGATACAATCATAAGGATTGACGGCTAAAAGCCGCAAGATCTATTTTTGATGCCCATGCCATGCGCAAAATGCGTGCACGAACACGTATTGAATCGTGATCATGTTTTTTTATATTAGCAGTACTCAAGGATGCCGACAGCCAGACTGTTTCGGCCAAGGAGGCCTCATCAGTGCAACTCCGAGCTTAAAATAGGATTGAACTGTCAGCCATGGGTACGAGAACCACAGAGATTAGGACAGCTCGATGTACTAGCGTTGAGAGTGCTCAAACTGCTAGAAGCAGCGGGCAAAGCATACAGCTAACCAGCGCAAGTGCGTCCTATATTAGCAGTACATGTACTATTGTTGGTTTACCGATATTAATTTAACACATCTCAGGCAGTGTTGAGTAACGGGGTTGCCGGTCACAACACCTGCACAGGAATACCTGAAAACATAATAATAATAATAAGAATAAGAATAACGTTAGTGTATAAACCCTTGAAAAATCAATTGCTGTCTCTGAAACCACCAACGTGGTGGGAGGCTCATGTTGCCAATTCGTTGTTGACATTTCTAAATACCATCTTTAGACCTTCTGAGGCACGCAATACAGAACATTAGCAGGGCAAAAGAAATGCGGAACGTGAACAAATTAATGCCATGATGCTTGCGGTTCGCTACGCCTGTCAGTGTCAGCCAACAACGATACAATTCAGGTCGCCAGAGCTTGGTACCGGTATGTCTCATCCCCTTCACCTCCTCCCTCGGAGTTGGTAGCTGCTTGCTATTCGCTGAAAAGCCATCATTGGCCTCTTCAGTGTACTTTGCCGATAGTGAATTCCATATGAAAAGGCATACACTAGGCACGCAGCAATGAATGCAATGTTCCTTTGGTGGAGAACAACCTTAGTTTAGTTCAAACCCAGCACCATGCGCTCTGTGGCCACCATTCACACTAGCAACACCACTCCCAAGTCGTTGGAGATATTGGCGACAAGAACATTTTCCCCTTAGTTGCGACGGCCGCTGACATCCGATGAATCGATTAAAAAACCGTCCCACCCAAAAAGGTAAACACATTTTTAAATGTAACATTTCCCGTTGAGGTCCTGTACTGTCATGTAAGGTACTTGTACATTTACATACATGACATACTTGCACTTACCGAGAGGCTGATGAATGTTGCCCGTCCCATGTTTACCAGTCCAGTCCCCTTGCCGGCGTCTCCAGCCGGTTCAAAGAATACAGAACAACACTAACGCCACTAGAGACGTTTATTATCACGAACTGGTCGTGAATCAATTGACAAAGAATGAACCGATCGGTGTGCAGGCCTTTTCAATATGTTTTGTAGATTTGACCAGCAATGTTGCCGGTGCAGCAGCGATTACCGTGTGCAGAACAGATACGAATTCTCATGCACACGACTAATGTTATTCGTACTCCACTACAAATTTGTTACAGCTGGTCGTGTCTAGCATATTCTTGCTGCCTGTGGCGGGAAGTTGACACCTGTCGACTGTATGGCACGTGACAAGCTCACATCTGGCACAAGAAGCATGTCAAACCTCTCAGTTGGTAAAATTCAAAGAAACCATCACTTCCCAGTAGTTCCTACCACGTACAATGTGATGGTTCTTCAAGGAGCTCATCCTTCACTACTAGTTCATTTTCAGTAGGCTATTGAAATACATGTACATGCACGTACATGTGCTATAGTTCAATAGTAGTAGTTCCGCGATTGCTAGAGTGCTCACCACTGCAAGGACGCAACAATACCACGAAGGCAGAACGGTGACAACTGGTAAAAATATAGTTGCAACATGTACTACAATTGTTTTGGTCAGCGAATCCAAATAAAACCAATTGAAAATGAAGAATAGCGACCCGAATAGAAGCTACAAAAGTACGGAGAATTAGCAAGACGAAATTCCGGTTCGCGTTCGCTCTCCAAGGAAAGTCGAACTCAGTGACGGAATTCGCGTTATGAGAAGGATTAGCAAACATCATTCGCACATGCATGACGTTGACACGACGTACATTGTGAACAGACAGTACGGCATGGTAAATTTATGACTGCCCTGACACAAATCCGCGATTCGTGTTCCAACTACTTCTCCGAACGAAAAATGCGAAAGTTCGCAATCCAGTTCGCGAACTGAAAAATGTTTGCGAACGGGAACGCGAATTTCGTCTTGCTAATCCTCCGTAGTAAGACCTTTTCCTCCGCCGTCGTAATATTGGGCAAGCCTGCCCGTTTGGTTTGCGATGTTAAAAAAACAAGCAACAAAATAAAAAAAACTTCACAAAGAAGGTGGTAGACATCACGCATCTGCATTAAAGAAAAGGTGGGTTGTCATGGACCCACTACCGCCTAGTACAGAACAAACTATGGATACGTGCGACACGAGGCGTCCACCCATGGTACCCACCACATCCAATACTTCCCCATGGCCCATGGGCACAGTGGGTTCAAAAGTCGGTATTTGTCCGGTAGGGGTGAAACTGTTACCCTTAAAGGCTACAAACGGGTACATGGCTTAGCGGGCCGGGATCGGGCACCCTTTAGCAGCCGATAGTAACAGTTACTATACATTAGCCATCCACACTTCGTGTGAGGAAGACATGCGAAATTATGCAATTCACAGCAATTACACTACATTGCGACAAGCGCCGAACGTGCTACATGCGAAACAGTCAAGACTGTCATATGAAGCAGGGTCAAACAACCAACAACACATTAAAACTGTACATCGAACAGTACGACTCTCCAAGCCAGCTACTAATTTAACCCTTTTACGCACGACTTCAGATCGTTATTATATGATCGAAACTTCAAGCCGGGATTTCAGTGGGCGATCTTCATCTGTTTTCGATGCCTCCTGAGAGGCGATAAACCAAAGACGAGCGTTGCCCTCCAGAAAACTCGCCGCGTAGCTCAAGCGCTCCTCCGCGTTGTTCAGCTGCAGGGACTTCATGGCGAGTTCTATGGCGAAGGCCCACTCCTTGAACTCTCTTGTATCTCCACGAAACACAGGCGGAGACTTAACATGGCGCATGCGTGGCCTCTCTCCGCTGGGAGCTTGAGCACGTCTTGGCGTTTGATCTGATCCATCGCACTGACCGAGTGCGATAAGGTGATTCAGACGCTTCTGAATCTCGAATATACCGTAGGCGACTAATGCGGCCACTGCGCATAGCCCGAACATGACGAAAAGAAAAACCATCCTCTTGCTACCAGTGTAACAGTCCAACTAACTTCAGTAGTCATTCTTGGAATAAGCAATGATCCTTGCCATAATGCATTCTTATATACATGAACAAGCAATGATGGACATAACACCTAACAGCAGCAGCGTGATAATAGCAGGTGATAAGTGTATCCTATTCCTAGTGTTAGTAGTAACAGTGAATCTGTTACACTCGCGCTTTCTCGGATCGATTAATTTCCTGTTGGAACAGTTGCAGGGCAGCTTCCCGCCACTGTTTCAACAGGCGATGGCTCCAAAGCATGCCTGGAACAAGCCATATCGAGGTTGCAAGCCACCCCTCTCAGCAAAAAAATCGAAGAAATTCGAAATTTCAATGGTGGAAGATATACTATGAAGAGAATTTCAAAAAGTATGTTTCGCGGAGTGATCGCTCGACCTACGTCATTCAAACTTTGCAGGATGGTTCAGACGTACATGCTAGGCATGGAACCACAGGCAATGATGCCATAGCTGACACACAGAGTACCACACACAGCAGATTCATGTGCACAGATACTAAATTAGTGGACGTCGTCATCTTCTTCCCGCTGATCTCGAATGTACTATGACGTGCTATTTCGCCTGACGCGATTGATAAGTGTGATAGAACTGATACTAGCAAGAAACAGTTACATAGAAATTACCCGGGGAAGCAGTAAACAAAAACGTATGCGGAAATCCCCGCCCCCCCCCTCCCCCCCCCCTCCCCCCCCCTCCCCTCCACGTTCGTTAGACCCTCAACAGCTGACTGTCTTGGGAGTCTCAACGCAAGTTGATACCGTTCTTGCCAAAACAGTTCCGATAATATGATGCATAACCAGCTCTGCTCTCTGCTGGCTGATTATTTGTAGCATTTTCTCCAAATTGTACTGTGACAGTTGCAGAACGAGAATCGGATCACACCGTCACGCAGCTCACGCAATGTACATGTATGACAGGCGTCATACAATCATAAGGATTGACGGCTAAAAGCCGCAAGATCTATTTTTGATGCCCATGCCATGCGCAAAATGCGTGCACGAACACGTATTGAATCGTGATCATCTTTTTTTATATTAGCAGTACTCAATGATGCCGACAGCCAGACTGTTTCGGCCAAGGAGGCCTCATCAGTGCAACTCCGAGCTTAAAATAGGATTGAACTGTCAGCCATGGGTACGAGAACCACAGAGATTAGGACAGCTCGATGTACTAGCGTTGAGAGTGCTCAAACTGCTAGAAGCAGCGGGCAAAGCATACAGCTAACCAGCGCAAGTGCGTCCTATATTAACAGTACATGTACTATTGTTGGTTTACCGATATTAATTTAACACATCTCAGGCAGTGTTGAGTAACGAGGTTGCCGGTCACAACACCTGCACAGGAATACCTGAAAACATAATAATAATAATAAGAATAACATTAGTGTATAAACCCTTGAAAATCAATTGCTGTCTCTGAAACCACCAACGTGGTGGGAGGCTCATGTTGCCGATTCGTTGTTGACATTTCTAAATACCATCTTTAGACCTTCTGAGGCACGCAATACAGAACATTAGCAGGGCAAAAGAAATGCGGAACGTGAACAAATTAATGCTATGATGCTTGCGGTTCGCTACGCCTGTCAGTGTCAGCCAACAACGATACAATTCAGGTCGCCAGAGCTTGGTACCGGTATGTCTCATCACCTTCACCTCCTCCCTCGGAGTTGGTAGCTGCTTGCTATTCGCTGAAAAGCCATCATTGGCCTCTTCAGTGTACTTTGCCGATAGTGAATTCCATATGAAAAGGCATACACTAGGCACGCAGCAATGAATGCAATGTTCCTTTGGTGGAGAACAACCTTAGTTTAGTTCAAACTCAGCACCATGCGCTCTGTGGCCACCATTCACACTAGCAACACCACTCCCAAGTCGTTGGAGATATTGGCGACAAGAACATTTTCCCCTTAGTTGCGACGGCCGCTGACATCCGATGAATCGATTAAAAAAACCGTACCACCCAAAAAGGTAAAAACATTTTTAAATGTAACATTTCCCGTTGAGGTCCTGTACTGTCATGTAAGGTACTTGTACATTTACATACATGACATACTTGCACTTACCGAGAGGCTGATGAATGTTGCCCGTCCCATGTTTACCAGTCCAGTCCCCTTGCCGGCGTCTCCAGCCGGTTCAAAGAATACAGAACAACACTAACGCCACTAGAGACGTTTATTATCACGAACTGGTCGTGAATCAATTGACAAAGAATGAACCGATCGGTGTGCAGGCCTTTTCAATATGTCTTGTAGATTTGACCAGCAATGTTGCCGGTGCAGCAGCGATTACCGTGTGCAGAACAGATACGAATTCTCATTCACACGACTAATGTTATTCGTACTCCACTACAAATTTGTTACAGCTGGTCGTGTCTAGCATATTGTTGCTGCCTGTGGAGGGAAGTTGACACCTGTCGACTGTATGGCACGTGACAAGCTCACATCTGGCACAAGAAGCATGTCAAACCTCTCAGTTGGTAAAATTCAAAGAAACCATCACTTCCCAGTAGTTCCTACCACGTACAATGTGATGGTGCTTCAAGGAGCTCATCCTTCACTACTAGTTCATTTTCAGTAGGCTATTGAAAATACATGCACATGATTGTACATGTGCTATAGTTCAATAGTAGTAGTTCCGCGATTGCTAGAGTGCTCACCACTGCAAGGACGCAACAATACCACGAAGGCAGAACGGTGACAACTGGTAAAAATATAGTTGCAACATGTACTACAATTGTTTTGGTCAGCGAATCCAAATAAAACCAATTGAAAATGAAGAATAGTGACCCGAATAGAAGCTAAAAAAGTACGGAGGATTAGCAAGACGAAATTCCGGTTCGCGTTCGCTCTCCAAGGAAAGTCGAACTCAGTGACGGAATTCGCGTTATGAGAAGGATTAGCAAACATCATTCGCACATGCATGACGTACATTGTGAACAGACAGTACGGCATGGTAAATTTATGACTGCCCTGACACAAATCCGCGATTCGTGTTCCAACCACTTCTCCGAACGAAAAATGCGAAAGTTCGCA